ACCTCTCCTATGACCAAATATGAATATATATATGTATGTATTCACCTCTCCTATGACCAAATATGAATCCCCGTCTTCAGGAATGCTTCCTCTTCTCCACTTGTCAAGACACTTTCTGCGTGTGGGTTTTGCTCACAGGCCTGTTATTTTGTACAGTTCATGTCCTTCCAGACAGTTGGAAATGACCAGCCCTCTTTAGAACACTCTTGGCACTTTGTAGCTCACTGGTGGCCCTTATCACTTTTCTTTGGACCATTTGCATTCGTTTCTAGATTGTGACTTAGGTGGAGGAAATGCCCATTCCTCTTTCTGTTCAAGCCCCCTCCTCTACTTCATGTTCTCCCACTCCCTTTCTCTACAAAGTCCCCAAAACCATTCCCTGTACTGACTGGCGTAGTATTCCATAAAGTCTTACCCAACACCCTCCACAGCCCAGAGCCCCTGAGCTTATTTCTGTCAAAGCTTGTATCAAAGAGTATTGCAATTTTCTCTATTTATCTGCAGTCTATATTCAGAATTGAGTTTCTTATGGGAAAAAAAATGTCTTTATTTTCAACACCTTTCTCATAGTGGGAACACAATAAATGCTTGTAAAATAAAGGGATAGACAAACAAGGTTATTTGGGGCTAAAATAAGTCAGACTTTGAGAAAGACTTTCCTTATTGTTGATAGAATAGTAGTAAAACTTCACTGGGCACTTCCTGTGTGTCAGGTGCTGACTGAAGACATCACCTGTATTGTCTCTTATTTTGATGACAGCCCCAGGAAGCAGGTGTAGCTTTATCATCTTGTGATAGACAGGGACCTAAGTTAAGAGAAGTTAAGAATCTTAGCTAAGGCCACACTACTGGTGACTTGGAAGAGAGTCTGTGGTCAAACTTCTAGGTTCTACTATCTTTCAGCTGGAAAGCATTTGCGAAAATGCCTCTTTGTTTGACGTGGAGTACGCATTATTACATTCTTTACCATATGTGTTCACTTACTTGATTTGCATATGTCTCAACTTGGTTAATAATATGACATACTTTTATTTTCTTCTCTGAGCTTCCAACGTAGCAAGACATTTGAGTCTGTAAAATATTAATTGCATTTATAATCTTAATGACACCCAGTCATTTTATAGCTCCTTCACTTACAGTTGAGTACAAAGTCTCCTGCTACATGCACAAAAGAACTCACTGCCCTCTCTGTTCAAAGGCTGGGATGGAGCAGCCACGTCATTTATTTCAGTGATGCCAATGTGCCAGTTCTAGAGGAGCTCTGATTTGTCATGATTTACTGTCACCACAGGTTAAAGTACATCATCATATCTCTCAATTATACGATAAAGTACTTGTTGGAAAATACTTGACCCCAGAGACTAAAAAGCCAAAGTGGAATTTTCAGCTATATCATTGTTAGAAAGATCATTACTTTGGGAATTCAGCTTACTGTGAGAGAAATTATGCAAAGACAGGGTAAAAATGCTGAGGTGCAATTTTCTTAGGGAGCATTTTTTACTGAAATTAAGTTTTACTGGAAATTTCTATGATTTCAAGGATGCTCATCAGCATGTATTTTTGTCCTTCCAGAGAGGTCCTCCCTTCTCCCCTTCCCATTTGAAACTCCCTTATTTACATTATAAAAGAAAACTCATCAAAATATTCATATGCATCTCTTAAAAAAAATTCATATGCATATTCATCGCACATGTTCCTTTTTCCATTGCTGCTCATTTTCCCTACATAAGTGTTTGGGTGCGACTCTGGTTTTGCCTACAAATCATGAAGTAAGTTGGAAATGTGACGGGTTATCTGGTTGGGCTGATTAACACTGACAAGAGAAAGAAGCCTCAAGTTGCAGCATAAATTCATTTTTTTTAAGCCTGAAATGCTAATCTAATTAACCAGATAATTATCAGCTTTCCGTTCCTGGTTTTGGTTGTCTGTATTGATTAAATTAACTGCATGGCTGCCTAGTTGGCCTCTTATTTTGTGTTGTTTCCAGGCATTAATTTGTTCTATGAATCTGGCAGCCTCCCTCCTGGACACACACTGAAACTTCAAAGGAACTGTGACACCTTAAGAGTTTTCAAATTCTCCATCTATTCCTTCATTTGTTTGTTTTCCAAAGTGCCATTTCCTAGCTGTGCTGGCTGAGATACATAACTAAGATAAAATGACCAATCACTGTTGGCTGGGATCTTTTCATTTATTTTTGCTATTTGGCCAGTCAATATAATTTTTCTTTCTTTTGTTTTTAAAGTGTATATAATTAAAGGAGTGTGTGCAGAGATACATCTCCTTTCTATAGACAAAATGTGAATGATGCTGGATTCTGAGAAGATGGCCACCCAAATTTGATCAAAGGAGGCACTGCCTCCCTTCCTGACAACCTTCCCAGTCTCCTTCTAGATTTGGTTTCCTTGGGTTAAAGGCTTAGTTTATAACTTGGTTGTGCCTGCTACTGTGCTCTGGAAACTCTGGAGACTGTGGATTCAGATAAAAACCTTGTGTTCTGGGATGTTCAGAACCATCTCAGTACCTAATGAAGTGATCAGCTTTATGACCTGGGTATAATAAAACTTAGTTCCTATTGTGAAATAATGAACTTATTCATTATTTCAGAACTGTAAAGTTCTGTTGTATGATTGTTTTTTAAAATAATTTTGACACTTAGCAAATAGGGATACAAATACTATCTCCACTTTGGATTTCACTGGTCTGCTCTGAAGAGACAGAAGTTAAGCTCCAGAGGTAATAGTCACACAAAAGGGAGAAAAAAAAAGACTAGTCCCCATTCCTATTTCTAGGGAAACAATAAAACTAATTGAAAGAATTAATTTTTTTCTTTGTGTCTCATAGTTTACATTCTTCAAGCTTCTGGGGAAAAACAAGTGAGTCAATAAGAGAAGAGTATTTGATCTTTTGCATAGTAAAAAATTAAATTTGAGAACTGGGTTTCCTAAAATTTCATGTAAAATTTAAATAGTTCTGTAAATAGGCACATTTTGTAATCTGGAAGGAAAATGAAGTGAATAATGATACAGGTATTTTCCCCACTTAATGGGGAAAAAAACAACTATGCTGTCTAAACTATTGAAGTCTCGGGCCAGAATATACCAGCCAGACTCATGTGCACAACACCACTGAGTGGACACTAACTCTCCTGGGTTCAAGCAATCCCATTAAACATCTCAATAGGCATGTTATTTGGAGATATCATACCCCCAGATATTGCAAAGGAAATGGCACTATCATGGCTAAAGTAAAGAAGACTCAGTTTACTAAAAGAAAGAAGACCCCATTTACAATATAGAACATCAGAAACTCAGCTTGGATTTAAGAAATTGCCAGTGATTTGTTTGAGAACATGATACCATGGATTTTCAGACACTGAGGTCATTATTCCAGTTCCTTTTTAACTGGGACAAACAACACTATTCTAACATTTATAGGTTTGTCCAGTGGTCCAGTGTAATGACTAAATTGATTGTCAGATAAAGTGTCTAGTAAATATGTCACTAGGCAGAGTATATGTACGAAATAAAAATAAAGGGTTGAGACTGTTGTTCAGATAATTTAGCCAAATATTCTCTTCTAATGCATGACAGGTTTTTATGTAGGCTGAATTGTTCAGATTTATATTAATTGAATCATTACATAATTACTGAACTTTCTATTTTACTTGAAAAGTCATGGTTGTTTTTCAAGATGAATAGGAATGCATTCTAGATATTTCTGGTAGAAATTCTCAGCTATAATTATCACAGACCTTGGGAATCTTTATAGGGAAAACATATCTAGCCTCTATTTCTAAAACTTGTGAGTCTTTGGAGTCAATATAGGATAAAAAACAACAGGCTGCTTCCCAGAGAATTCTCTCTGTATATTTATCCTGTTTCTTACACATTGGCTAACTTATCCAAACAATAAAAGACACAGTACCTATCTGTACATGTGGAAAAATGAGAATTCATACCCTATTTGAATCAAATGTATGATATGTCAAGATCATTGTATTGTCTTGAGCAACTAATAAAAAAAGAAAAAAGAATAAAACAAAGATAAGTTACTTATTATTGCTACCAAATCACAGTCACCTCCTCTCCTCCTCTTTTCCCTATCTTCTAGAAGAAACTCAAAGCAGTACCTGGGGCAGCCTGTAGCAACTCCATCTCAAATCTTGCAACTTTCTGTATCTCCTTTTACCCAAGGTCAACATGAATGCCCTGGAAAAAACCTTGCCCCTCTGGAATTTTATCCTTGGGCATCTTGGCCATGCCTGGGTCCTTATCATGACCTTCATTGGCTATGCTACCTCAGAAGTTTCAAGGGTGACAATTGTCATTTTTTTTTTCCTGAGAACCTTTTTATTTGCTGTTATTTTAAATCCTGATTAGTTTCATTTCAACAGCGTTGCAGGTAAGGAACGTGGTAATATGTTCAAAGGGACTATACCTAATTTTTCTTTCTTGACCAAGTCTTGTTTTAACAGAAATCCCAGCCTGTACCAGTGCTCTTTCCTCCCCTATGCAGTGCCCATCATATTCAGAACCTTCACTGTGAGCCCCTTAAATTTCACATCTTAAGTGATCTATCTTCTTAGAAGTCTAAATCGCTTCTTTTCACACATACACAAAGAACTCACAGCTTTGTAGTAATAGAGCACTTTCTCCCAGAATTAGTGGAGGTGAGACTATTACCTTTCTAGTCATTTATTTAACTAAATCTGATAAGTGATGCATTTTTGCTTCATATATATTTCTTCTTTTTTTTCTTCATAGGTCAAGGAGTTCTACTCATATCCAAATGAGCCAGTGGCCATAGTAAATCTCAAGAGAGGCTTGGCTAGCCTATTTCAGATGCAGTTAACTTCTGGAAAAACAGATGAGGTACTTAATAATGAGTCAGTGTCTTGTTTGTCAATAGGGTTGCCAAATTTGTTTATAAGTTCTTCTTTTAGAAATTCAGTAGATGAGTTACTATTATGGTATATTGCTCAGGAAAGATGAGTTGGTTGCTCAAATCTCATTTACATATGAAACAATTGTCATTTATCCCAATGTTTTATTACTTAAATACAAGATAAAAGGATTTAGAATCACTTCTAATAAGCAAGGGGACTTAGAATAATTGTTAGATATACAGAAAACTTTGGGGATCATTCCAGTGATCTCCAGACATCACTGTGTACCACTACCCTATGAGGATTATCCCAGAGACTGTGATCAGTAGAGTAGGGGACCTGAACATCTGTATTTTAACAATCTCCTCAGATAATTAGGATGCACTGTCAGTGTGGGGAACTAATAATTGGAACTAATAATTTTGCAAATAAGGAAACTGAGGTTAATTGGGGAAGTTAAACAGATCCACTAGTATCACACTGGTAATCAGGGCTGGACTCCAACTTTCCTAGTCTGAATTTAACTAGCCCACAAATGGAAGAGAAAATCTGATGGCAGGGGTGGGCCAAGGGAATGATGGCTAGTTTGCTAGAGTTGAGGCAGACTGGAGCTGGCAGATCCCAGGGGAAAGCTCAGAGAAGCTAAACTGGGAAACATTTGCCTAAATTCAAATTGATGAATAATGAGTTTAATTAATCCCACAGATTTTTAAGCATACAAAGTAACACACACACACACACACACACACACACAGAGTCTATACACAGCCTTAAAAAATCCACTCTCCTAGCCACATAATTATCTACTTACTAGAGATTTCAGTTATTGCCAGGCCATTTGTCCAACTCTTATTGGGCATAGAGAGAACTATTCCTGGCCTAATTGAAAGGATGCTGTTAATCTTCAACCAAAGAAGGTGAGAAAGAATCAACATGCTAGAGGAGACTGAATTCTCTATTTTTGTTTTGTCATCCTGAAATAAAAAGCATCCCCCAATGATGTATTAGGGACCTCCATTTTCAAATCACTTCCCACTAGAATTAAAAGATTTCTGCCAAATTCCAAACATTATATTTTTGCTTTTCTTTTTTAGGAAGATGTCTCTGGAAATTGTAAAGTGACCTACCAGGCTCATCAAGATAAAGTGATAAAAATTAAGGCCTTGGATTCATGCAAAATTGAGAGGTCTGGATTTACAACCCAAAATCAGGTAGGATCAAATAATTACATGTTGTACAGATTAATTTTAAAAAATAGAAAAATAAGGTATAAATATAATTTGGAAACATTTATATTTTTAAGTCATAATTTCATATATGTCAAATAAGTAGATTTAGTTAAATATATTGTAGATATGGGTGATGGGGAAGGGGATAAAAGGGTAGTTCTTTTGAAGAGTGTGGGATAGTTATATATTTGGTTTACTTCAAAGAATAAAAAGTGTATTTCTTTTTTAAAAAGATAAATATTTATCTTTTTATTTATTTAGGTTTTGGGTGTCAGTTCCAAAGCCACATCTGTCACTACCTATAAGATAGAAGACAGTTTTGTTGTAGCTGTGCTTGCAGAAGAGATACATGCTTTTGGGATGAATTTCCTCCAAACCATCACAGGAACAATAGTGTCAAAGTAAGATAATGCTTAAATTATAATTTCCCTTACTGTTTTTTGACATTATACTTGGTTTATAAATGTTTGTGTGTGTGTGTGTGTGTGTGTGTATGGTGTTCCCTTATTTGACTGTGGGTTTCTTGAAAACAGAGATTACATCTTAATCACCTTTATTTTTCACATCATCTATAATAATACATGGCACAAAGTGAATATCATTTTTAATAGAATTTCATTAGAATTATTTATTGACTTGAATTTAAATTTTTAAAAAAACCAAACTACTAGTTCATTTTATAATTTCTCTTGTGTTTTTTAATGTCATAGTTAAAAAATGGTGGCATTTGCATTTTATTCTTTGGGAGTCCCCCCCCCCCCCTTTGTTGTACTGGGCTCAAACCCAGGGTCTTGTACACATTAGGCAAGCAATATGCTACTGAGCTACACCCCCAGCATCCTTGAGAATTTTTAAAGTTATTAATAAGAAACATAGAAAGTTCCATAGTGAAGAAATGTGACGCAATTTTTGATGAGATTTATAGCATGTAAATATTTGAGCTTGTTGTATGAATTTAAGACCAGTTCTCTGATCAGAATGGTTCTAACAAGATTAAGAACTGAAATTTCAACTCTGTTTGTTTCATTTTGATATTTTAATTCAAAAAGACATTTTCAACAGTAAGTGAATTATATGTTATGCCATTGCTTTTCAAAAATTTCCTTTGAACTGCTCCTAACATCAGAATTAGATGGATGCAAATCAGAGGAGAAGTGTCTCAAACCATAAAAACCTTGAAATTTTATTCAAGTCTCATCTGGAGTTAAATTTTGCATTCTACTTCATGCTCTTTACTGTTTTCATATATTCTTATATAAAATAAATGGTTAAAATTGTTTATCAGGTCTATCCAGTTTCTGTTTCCTTATAACAAATTCAAATTCACCAAAAATTCAATGGTATAAAAAGCAATGATCACTGTATTATTCTCTCTCATAATTTTGGGCTTGCCTTGGCCTGGTGTCTGCTAAGCAATGACAGTGACAAGCTAGAGCTAGAATTATTCTAAGGTTGCTCCCTCATGTGTCTGATGCTTGAGCTGAGAAGACTCAATCATCTCTCTTTATCTCTGGTCATGGCCTATTCAAGTGGCCAGACGTTTTTATTTACAAATTTTTATTGGTGCATTATAGTTGTACATAATGGTGGGATTTATTGTTACATATCTGTATATGCACACAATATAACAATAGAATTTGGCCAGTATCATTCTCCAGTATTTTCCCTTTCCCTCTTCTCCTTCTTCCTACTGCTTCCTTTGCTCTACTCTACTGATCACCCTTCAGTTTTCATGAGATCCCCCGCCCATCTTTCTTTTTCTTTTTCCTTTGTAGCTTCCACATGTGAGAGAAAAAATACTGACTTCTTATGTGACAACTCAAGACTCCAAAGGCCTATGTGCTGATGGCGTGCCAGATGAAAGCTGAAGTCCCTTTTATGGCCGAGCTTTAGAAGTCACACTATGTCGCTTGCACTGTTCTCTCTTAGTTGGGGCACCCTTATCCCATTTCAAGAAGGGAGATGATGGCAGAGAGACTAAGTTCTGGAAGATAATATTAGATGAAAATATTGTTAAGTCCATTTTTGGAAAATAAGCCTTCCTAACTGTCTGTTAATAAGTGACACATGGTTGTATTCAAGTATCATTTTCAGAAAGCTGGGCTAAATTCAAGCAGGCTGACATCTCACATCTGGTTCTGCATCCTGGAGGAGAATTTTCTCTCCTCTATTTTCTTGTCATAATATTTTGAAAGTTGACAAACTTTTGAATCATTGAACATAATCACTGCTTTATAAAGACTTCATAATTATCTTGAGGTTTCAGCTATCCCCTGGAGATACCCAAGTTTGAACTTTTACAACTTGAATAACCTGTGTATTTTGTTTTTCAAAAGAATGACAATTTGTATTATTCACTCAGAAGAATGCTTATAAAGTGCTATTTCTTTTTGGCATGATGCAGGCAGAAATTAGAGCTGAGGACAACGGAAGCAGGCCCAAGACTGAAACCTGGAAAGCAGGTTGCAGCAGTAATTAAAGCAGTTGATTCAAAATACACAGCTATCCCTATTGTGGGGCAGGTCTTCCAGAGCGAATGTAAAAGATGCCCTTCTGTAAGTATGAAAAAATTGAGGGCTAATAGTGGCTTAAGATTCTATTTTCCTTTTCTCTCCATTGGAAGCATCAGCTAATTTTATGAAGAAAGTTTCTAAAGAACTACCAGCCACCACAAAGTTAGGGTGATGTAGCCTGAACAACACAATCCTGAGATGATGCGTGATAGAACAATAATGAAGAAATAATTACTACTTGCTTAACAAAACATGTTATGACTTAAGGACAGCCTTTTGAAAATCAAACCTGGAATTTAGGTTATGGGAGGGAAGACTTAATGAAGCTGGGGGAAATAAATGTTCTCAAGAACACAGGCAAGTGTTTGAATTTTGTAAGGGCAGAATTGTATATAGGTTTGTTCAGATGTAAGGTACTTTATTGATCCTAATGTTCTAAGTATTGTTGTTCAGGATTAAGGAGGATTCCAAATTCTCTGCCTGAATTAGGGTACGTGTCTCTACCATACTTCAGTGTCTTCTATGACTACAGCCACAAAGGGGATATTCTTTCTCAAAGGCAAACTATAGATCAAATTGTAAGATTTTCAATGTAACAAAGAGAAACTTCATTGATTGCATGAATCAGTTGTGCTGTATGGTCACAGAAATGACTTTAAGGTTCTGCGTTTCCTAATATTTAACTACTTGTCTGGAGCAAACCTTGGCTGCAAGTTCTATGTGTAGCTACTATACAGAGCTCCTTCCTCAAACATTACTGATGTTCAGAAAAATGAAGTCATCAGAAAATAATACCACAATTTGTTTCAAGGACAACAGTCTGATACCTGATTAGTTTATAAAATTTAGTAAATTGGATTAGAGGTTGAAACATTTTGAAACATGACATTATAATTTTCAAACTCTATTTCTTCTATTATTTGTTTTCTTTCCACAGCCATTTAATTTTCCAATGTTTTATGAGATAAAAATTATTTAAGGGAATGACTAAAGAAAGGAATCATATTTTCTTATGTTGTGAACTATTAGTCCCCCACCACAGTTATTAAACATTATGAATCATTTAAGATTATTTATTGCAGAAAGTGTTTATGTTATTGAGGACTTTGCTTTTCCAACTTCAGTATAATGTTACTACAGCAACTTTCTAAAGAAAAAAAATCTAAATTCATGTAGATGTGCTCTTTGGCTTCAGAAACAACCTCGTAAATATGAAGTTAAATATAGCTAGAATTTTTGCATTGTAATATCCTCTTTGGATGAGATAGCTAAAAGGGATTTGCAAAAGAGAAAAATAAGTGTCTATTGCTTACAAGAAGGGATGAATAGTTTAAAAACTAGAAGAATGGTGATTATCACAGAGTTAGAAATTTAGAGGTCACTGATGCAATTTAACAAATTCTGTACAGCTAGGTGAAAAGTAGTCAAGTACGAAAAATAAGTTCTTTAGTTTTTCTCCAAGCCAGAAAATGTCATCAATTAGAATTATTTACTATTTAAATATGTCATCAATTAGAATTATGTTTTAAAACCAAAGTAGAATAATTGTAGTGTGTGTGTGAGAGAGAATTGCCTTTATGTATATACTACTCTACTAAACATAGATATAAGTTCAGACCTCAGTAACAGTAAACATTAAATTTCATACAAACAATACTGTAAAAAGAGCATGGAACCAAACTATTGAAAAAAGTGCCATCCAGTGAGGGGCAAATGAATCAGAAACCTGTTACAATACTTCAGCAGTTCTGATTTTTTTTTCCTTACAAAATATCTTGCTGTTAATTAAAATTCTGCACAATTTCACTAGGGTAGTCAAAGTCTGGTCTCTGATATAATTCCCTTAGTATAGCCATGGGATGACCATATGCCCTGGCACAAGTTATTTATTTCCCAAGGTCCTTCAAATTTATTACTAATAGACAAAAATGATCCTCCTAAGAGGAATGGCACTCAGGGTTAGCATGCCTCTCAATTTGCCTCTGGCCTTCAGGAGTGGTGTGTTATGGGCAGGGAGACAAGAACCATACTGAGCAAAGATACAAAAAGCATCTTCTGCTTGTCAGATACAAGTAAAATTTTATTTCTGGGGAGAACAGCCTTTGTAAATGTGGATGCTCAGAACTACGAGCAGGACATGAGCCTGTGGCTATGTTTTGTAGCTGTCAGAACACTGGCAGTCCATCAGGAAACACCTGGAGCCTGACAACCTCTCCAATGCTGAAGCTGTCAGAAACTTCCTGGCCTTTGTTCAGCACCTTAGGACTGCAAAGAGAGAAGACATCCTCCAAATTCTGAAGACTGAAAAGAAAGAAGTACTGTAAGTTCCCCAAACTTACAGTGGGTTGATCTGTCAGGAAAACTCTGCTGAGTTATCATTTTTATCAAGCAAGAAAGACTCCTTCTAAATCAATTGCCCCACCTCCAAATCAATTATTCTGTTGTTCTACATTTTAACCAACAATTATATATGCCATAATGTAATGACTTAATGGTCACTGGACCAAAAATCCAAGAACAAATTTTAAGAGTGACTCAAGATGCACATATTTTAAATTAGAGTTAGATTGGCGCATAAGATAGATAAAGCCATTGCTTCATCAGGACACCCTGGCACACGGGTGCCTTGCTGTTTTTGCAATTGTGTTTTCAAGCTATTAATGTATGTTTGAAAAGATTTCAGAGTTGACTGAAACAAACAAGAATGGTACGACTTTTCCATTGAACATGTGATTTCATTAAAGATCTAACTGATGTCTCATTTTATACAGAAAATTGAGAACTGTCGTAAGTAACCAAAAGAATCTAGAGAAAAGAAATTCACACATTTTGCAATATTTCGTGAAAGAGTGATTCATTAACATGTGTAAAAAAGAAAGTCGACTCTATTAACATAATCAAAAATGGAAATTGGCCAAGTTACACACACACACACACACACATACACACACACACACACACACACACACACACACGGCAGCCGCCGCCCCCACAGCAGCTGTCAGAGTTCAAAGGACTCAAACAATCAAGAAGAGAATTCTGTTTTTGATATGAAAAGTCTGTTTATTCTTGATCATATTTATTATTTACTTCCCTTGAGGATATTAAAAAAATAGAAAAAATATCAATTTGATGAACCACCCCTTTTATATATTACTGGTATAGAGAAGAATTTGAGCTTAATTTATAATATTATTTATATAATTTTAATTTTACAAATGTTCAAATTATTCTTGACTTAGGTTAATATAGTAAAATTAGCTTGTATATTCTATGTATATATTGTTTAAATGAGAAAAATAAGACTTAAGGGAGCAATTTAAATAAAATGGGAAGGGGATCTTTTTGAGAAGAATTTTTTGTTGTTGTTCAAATAAAAATATTTCACTTCTTCAAGAAATTCAAATCAGTGGAGAGTCTGTGAGTGGTCGAGGTTTTTAATAATTCCTTAAGCACCTGAAGCACTGATATGTGTGACGATGCCTTTTTCATAGACCTCAGCTGGTGGATGCTGTTACCTCTGCTCAGACTCCAGCCTCATTAGAAGCCATTTTGGACTTTTTGGATTTCAAGAGTGACAGTAGCATTGTCCTACAGGAGAGGTTTCTCTACGCCTGTGGATTTGCCTCCCATCCTGATGAAGAACTCCTGAGAACACTCATTGTAAGTCAAGTAGACTCAGGGAAAATAAAGACTCTCAGCAGCTAAAAGCAAAAAACAAACCGAAAACCTGCAAGCATATAAGCAGTAATTAAAAGTTGTTCAAATCAGAATGAAGACCACAAACTGTGAATACCTTCTGAGTATTCACATTCAGACTTCACTGGACTATTTCTATCCATGGATCTTTGACTGCACAGTAAATATTTCACTTAGTGTCTTTACAGTCTCACTAATTAGCATAAACTATACATTATGGAAACTTAAAGACTCACTTCTCATATGTGGGAAATGATGATATTTTAGAAGGGAAAAGTCTAGGTTATGCTTTAATAAGCAACTTAAAAATTCCTTTGAGTTAAAAATCTTCATGGTATTTATACAGATACATTGAAGAGATACAATTATTCCATTATTTAAATTTTTATATTCAATCCAGACCCAATTTCTCTTGAGTCTGAGATTTTTTTTAGAAAATTATACTCATCCACTTATGATCTAGTGGAACAGTCTGTAATCTTTTTGGAAAACAAGCCTACTTGAGAATCTGGTAAAAACAATGAAGCCCAACTTCATTCATATTTAAATTTTAAAAACTTTTTGTGGTTCACTGACTAACCTGATGAACCCAATCCATAAACCCTTAAATAAGAGTTTAAAGACCGTGGTTAGGAATACCAGGACAGGGCCCATGCTTTTAACTCTTCATTCAAAACTAGATAGTGAATTTCTAAATGTTTCAAAAGCAACATTCTGAGTTTGGTATCCAGGAACATGAAAACATTTTCCTCAAGTCATTGGTTACTTTATTCCTAAAAGTGTCCCTCTGAAATATTTAAATGTCTTAATGGCCTCTTTTATCCCTGTTAATAGAGTAAGTTCAAAAGTTCCTTTGCAAGCAATGACATCAGAGAAACTGTTATGATCATCATCGGAGCCCTTGTCAAGAAGCTGTGCCAGAATGAAGGCTGCAAACTCAAAGTAAGTGTGAATCAGTGATGCCCGCCATCACCCAAACCACCATACTTGATATTCATCTTGCTGCCCACCCATAGGATACCTAATCCTCCCCCACTCTACTAGTTTTCCTTTTCGTATACAATTATTGCCATCTAACATACTTGGAAATTTAGTTGTTTATTATATCTACTGTTATTTCTGTATACTCCATGCAGAAATGGATCTTTGTTTCCTTCAGAACCAGTAGCCTAAAATAGTGCTTGGTGCATAGATAATGATCAATAAATATTTGCTAGAAAGGGAATAGTCCATTGATATTCCTACCAAATATGTTGATTGAGCACCCATTAAGTATTCAGATTTGTTTGGTCATTGTTTTATTCTCAAATGACAAATGACAATTGTATATATTTTGGGGGTCAAGTGTGATGTTTTGATACATCTATATCTTGGGAGGCATGATCAAATTAATATATCCATCACCTCAAATACTTATCATTTCTTTGTGGTACGAAAATTTAAAGTCCATTCTTCTAGGTATTTTGAAATATACAACACAATATTATTAATTATAGTTACCAGGCTGAGTGATCCCCACAGTCTCTTCCTCCTATCTGACACTGTGTATCCTTGACCAATATCTTCCGTTTCCTAATTCCCCCTCTCTTGTCTTACTCTGGTTAGCTTTTGGCAACCACCATCCTTTCTCCATATTCTTGTGTAAGGTTGACTTTTTTAGATCCCATGTGTAAATGAAATGAGATAAATGGGTATTTATCTCCCTGTGCCTAGTTTATTTCAATCAGCATGTGTCCTCCAGGTTTGTCCATGTTTCTGCGAGTGACAGAATTTCTCTCTCTCTCTCTTTGTGATACTGGGGATTGAACTCAGGGGCACTGAGCCACATCCCCAGCCCTATTTTCTATTTTATTTAGAGACAGGGTCTCACTGAGTTGCTTAGCACCTCCCTGTTGCTGAGGCTGGCTTTGAACTAGAGATCCTCCTTCCTCATCCTCCAAGCCACTGGGATTACAGAAGTGCACCACTATGCTGGGCCAGAATTTCCTTTTTAAAGGATTTAGTATTCCATTATATATCTGTACCACATTTTAAAGGTCCATTCATTCTTGACTATTGTGAACAAAACTGCAAAGAACATGGGAGTACTGATAGCTCTTCAACACACTGATTTTATTTCCTTTGGATAAATACCCAGAAGTAGGATTGCTGAATCATCAGGTAATTCAATTTTTAGTGTTTTGAGGAACCTCCATATTGTTTTCCAAAATGGCTGGATTAATCTCTAATATTACCAACTACACAGGGTTACCTTTTCTCCACATCCTTGCCACATTTTTTATCTTTCAACTTTTTTATAATAACCAGTATAATAGGTGTGAGGTGATATTATTAGGCCTTTATGATTATGGTATCAGCCTTGATGTATGATTTGCAAATAATTTCTCCCTGACTGTTGGTTGTCTCCTTACTCTATTAATTGTTTCATTCTGTGCATAAGTTTTTTGATTTGATGGAGTCCCATTTGTCTATTTTTGCATTCATTATCTTGTGCTTTTAGAGTCTTACCCAAGGACTCTCTGCCCATATCAATGTCCCCCTGGTTCTTTTCTTTCTCTCTCTCTCTTTTTTTTTAAACTACGGTTTTGTAATATATTTAAAAATCCAGTAGTGTGGTGACTCCAGTTGGCCTTTTTGCTCAAGATTACTTTGTTACATTAGGATCTTTTGTGGTTTCATAAGTATTACAGAATTTTTTTTTTCTAGTTCTGTGAAGAATGTCATTGGTATGTTGATGGGAATTGCACTTAATCTTTAAATTGCTCTGGGGGGCATGAATGTTTTAACAATATTAATTCTTCCAAGAGATAAACATGGGATGCCTCTTCATTTAGTTGTGTCTTCTTCAGTTTCTTTCATAAAAATGTTTTATATTTTTCGTATATAGATCTTCACTTCCTTGGTTAAATTTTCTCTGAAGTGGTTTTTTTTTTTCATTCTGTTACAAATAGGATTGCTTTTAAATTTCTTTTTCAGATAATATGTGGTTAGTTATAGAATTGTGATTGATTTTTGTAAGTTGATATTGTGTCCTGCAACTTACTGAATTTATTTGTCTGTTCTAACAGCCATTTGATGGGGTTGTTAGGGTTTTATGTATATAAAATCATGTGTTTAGAAAACAGGTGATTTCACTTCTTTCCTTTCCTAATCAAATGCCTTTTATTTCTTTTTATTGACTAATTATCCTGGCTAGGATTTCCAATATAATAGTGAAAAGAAGTGGTGCCAGTGGGTATTGTTGTCTTGTTTCTGATCATAGAGGAGAAGTTTTTTACTTTTCACTCTGGAGTATGTTAGTAATGGTTTTGTCATATGTGGATTTTATTGTGTTGAGGAACATTCCTTCTGTACCTAATTTGTTGAGAAGTTTTATAAATGAGGGATGATAATTTGTAAAATACTTTTTTCTGCTACCATTGAGATGATCATGTTTTTGGCTTTCATTCTGTTAATATGGTGAATCATGTTCATTGATTTGCATATGTTGAACCATCCTTGCATTGTAGGGATAAATCCTATTTGGTCATGGTGAATGATTCTTTTAATGTATTGTGGCTAGTATTTTGTTGAGGATTTTTAAATCTATGCTCAGCAGTGATACTAGTTTCCACTTTCCTTTTCTGGTTGTGTCTTTGTTTGGTTCTGGTATCACAGTAAAGCTATCCTTGTAAAAATGAGTTTGGAAGGAACTGGGGTTGTGATTCAGTGGTGGAGCGCTTGCCTAGTATGTGCAGGGGCCTGGGTTTGATCCTCAGCACCACATAGAAATCAATAAAATAAAATTATTTTAAAAAATGAGTTTGGAAGTATTCCTTCCTCTTCAATTTTTTGGAAGAGTTTGAGAAAGATTGGTTCTTTTTCAAACAACTGGAAAATTTTAGCTGTGAAGCCATCTGGTCCTGGGCTTTTCCTTGATGGAAGACTATTAAATACTGATTCAATTTCCTTTCTCATTATCACTCTGCTCAGATTTCTGATTTCTTCATAATTTACTCTTGGTTAAATGTTTCATGGAATTTATCCAATTCTCCTACATTGTTCAATTGGTTTGTGTGTATAGACATTATTCATAGTAGTCTCTTATGATCTTTCTTATTTGTAAGTTGTAATATCTCCTCTTTCATTTCCGATTTTGCCTGTTTGGTCTTCTCTTTATCATGGTCTAGCTAGGGGCTTGTCAATTTTATTTACATTTAAAAAAAACTTAGTTTAATTTTCTTTGGTATTTATCTATTTCATTAACTTCTACTCTGATCTTTGTTATTTCTTTCCTTCTGCTGATTTTGAGCCTGTTTATTCTTCTTTTACTAATTCTTTGGGTAAAATGTTTACTTGAGACTTTCCTCCTGTTTTTATGTAGGCATTTAGTGCTATAAACTTCCTTTTTATGACTATTTTTGCTGTAACCCATAAGTTTTGGTATGCTGTGTTTCCATTTTCATTCATCACTAAATAACTTTACATTGCCATTTTAATGTCTTCTTTTATTTAAAAGTTGTCAGGAGTATATTATCTAAGTTCCACATATTTGTTAACTTTCCTTGATTTCTCCTATTATGGATTCCTAGTTACATGCCATTGTGGATGGAAAAATATTTGATATGATTTCAATCTTCTTAAATTTGTTAAAACTTATTCTGTGGTTTAAGATTTAGCCTGGGCAGATTTCTGTGTGCACTTAAGAATATCTATTCTGTAGATATTAGATGGAATATTCTATATATGTCTATTAGGTCCATTTGGTCTAAAGTATAGTTCAAGTCCAGTGTTTCCTTATTGATTTTGTTTGTATGATCTGTCTATTGTCATTAATAGGGTATTAAAATTCTCAACATTTTTTGTGCTGCAGTATGTCTCCCTTCAGTTCTCTTATGCTTTATGTTTTTAAGTGATGTCATGTTGGGTACATATTATTTACAATTGTTATGTCCTCTTAATGAATGAACCTCTTTATCATAATAAATTGCCTTCTTTATTCTTACTCAGCTTTGAATGGTGTGTTCTTCTTCTACTTCTTGTTCTTAGGAAAAAAATAGATGCTAAGGTTTTCTCTCAGAACAGAACTTTATCTATAATAAATGCAGTTTATAGTTTTAAGTTTTGTCAGTGGAAATTTAGTTATTTCTAATCACTTAGAACTTTGTATGTTGTTTTTATTCTCATTTGCTCAAAGCTTCTTTGTTTTCCTGAGAGTTATCAATTTTCACATCTTCTTATATAAAAAAGCAAAAATACCCACTTTGTAAGCATAACCAAAAATGGAAATTCTACATAGATTAAAATCAAACACACCCTACTTTTCTATAATGCAAATAAAGCATTTTCTCTGTTCATATTTATTATATTGCCAGCTTCCTGTTCTGCCACAGGAAGGCATAGTTGCATTATTTTGCTTCCTAAATGCTTGCTATTTAAAACAATATTGAAAATGAGGTTTTTGTTTGTTTGTTTATTTTACAGTAGAATGCATTTTGACATATAGTTCACAAGTGGAGCACACAACTTCTCATTCCTCTGGCTGTACATGGTTCAGAGTCACTCTGGTAGTGTAATCATACATGTATATAGGGTAATAATGTCTATCTCTTTCTACTGTTCTTCCCATCCCCACAATCCCACCCCTCCCCTTGCTCCCCTCAACACAAACCAAAGTTCCTTCATTCTTTCCTATCCTCCCTGCCCGCTATGGATCAGCATCTGCTTATCAGAGAAAACTTTTGGCTTTTTGTTTGGGGGACTGGTTTATTTCACTTAGCATGATATTCTCTAGTTCCATCCATTTACATGCAAATGCATAATTTTATTCTTCTTTAAGGCTTTGTAATATTCCATTTTGTATATGTACCACATTTTCTTTATGCATTAATCTGTTGAAGAGCACCTAGTTTGGTTCCATGGTTTAGCTATTGTGAATTTAGCTGCTATAAACATTGATGTGGCTGCATCACTGTAGCGTGCTGATTTTAAGTCATTTGGGTATAAATTGGGAGTGGGATAGCTGGGTCAAATAGTGGATTCATTCTAAGTTTTCTGAAGTATCTCCATACTGCTTTCCATAGTGGTTGCACCAATTTGCGGTCCCATCAGCAATGTGTGAATGTGCTTTTTTCCCCTCTTCCTTGCTAACACTTGTTATTGCATGTATTCTTGATAACTGCCATTCTGACTGGAGTGAGATGAAATCTTAGAGTAGTTTTGATTTGCATTTTTGAGAATGTTTTTGAAACCAAATCATTTCATAAGAAGCAACTCCTAAATAGATTGTACAAAAAGAAGATAACTAAAAAGATGGTCATTAAAAATATTTGAATATCAGTTCTGGCAGAAATCAAAATTGGTATTATTGTATGACAGTAGAGAACTATGAATTTTTATGTTTTTCAGTTTCCACAGTTACTTGAGTAGCTTATCTGCTTCAGAAATTCATGTATTAAATATCTTGTCAAAATACAAAATCCACAGAGAAAAACAACAGTTAGCTGTATTTAATGAGCATCTACTCTGTATTAGGCATAATGTTAATCCTTTAATATAAAGATATATAAAACATTCTACCATCCTCAAAAAACTCTTTGTCTATTTATCAAATGCAAACAGGCAAGTGCAGTTGGCCCTCTGTATCTGTGTGTCCCCCATCCAGGATTCAAACAATCATAGATTGAACTATTGGGGAAAAAAAATCACATGTGTATTTGTCATGAACAGATTATTCCTTCTTGTTATTATTCTCTAAAAAGTGTAACATTTACATTATATTAGGTATTACAGGTAATCCAGAGATGATTTAGGGGTTGGGGGCATGGCTCAGCAGTAGAGGACTTGCCTAGCATGCATGGGACCCTATGTTCTCTCCTTAGAACCACAAAAATAAACAAATCAACCTTCAAATTATTTTTTTTTAATCTAGAGATGATTTAAAGTACACAGGGCTATGTGTGCAGGTTATATGAAAGTACCATCTTTACCATTCTTTACAAGAATTTGTATGTTTTGTTATCCCCAGGGTGTCCTGTAATCAATCCCTCATGCATACTGAGGGACTAATATAATATTAAAACAAACAAAGTGACAGTGAGAACACAGAAGCCACAGTGACTTTGCTGTTTGAGGGTGTTAGGGAAAAGTTTCCCCAAAATAGTATTTGAGCTTAGTCTAGAAGAAGTTTTTAGGTGAAGAAATCATAATATGGAATAAAGGACATTCTACAAGTAGCATAATTTTGTATGAAAAGTCCTGAAGTGGACCCAGTATGCTTGGGAACAACGAGAAATTTTGTGGCACTGAAACATAAAATATATATGCCTGCCCACTAGAAGGTGAGGTGAAGATATCAGAAAGAGGGGAAGTGAGAAGAAAGGTAAACAGATCTTTGCGAATAACGAGTTAAGGAGCCTCACCTCCATTCTATACAACAAGGAGGTCTGGTGAAGTTTTTAGGTGGGTGAATGACACACTCATTTTTAAAATTTTATTTTGGAAGAAGCCAGATGATATATGAACTGAGTATTGGCTGGATTAGTCAGTAAGATCTGACTAGAAACATTTTGCAATGATTTTGGCAAAAATTAATAGTTTTAAATTAATGTAGGGTCAAAGGAGAGAGAGGAGACAGATTCAAGAGCCATTTAGGAAGTAGATTCAATAGTGTTTAGTGATTGATGAGATGCAGGGAATGAAACAGAGGTAAGAATCTAGGTGACTCCAAAGCTTCCAGGTTAGAATACCAGAGTACGGCAATGCCTACCACTTAATCAAGGTTTCCAGAGCCTAATTTAATGGTGAGAGTAAGGTGGAGCTATTAATTTTTTTTTTCACCGTATTAAGTTTGAAATCCTTTGGGTCACCAGGTTGAGTTGTTCAACAGGCAGATGGTCAGAATCACAGAACAGGAGAGAAGTTAGAGCTAGAGATAGAGGGTGGTTGAAACCCTGGGAGAAAAAGGGATTACCAAGGCATGTGGCATGAAAAGGAAACTGAGTTAGTGATCAAAGTTCTTCTGATAATGGGACAGCTTGGCTCTTTTCACATTTTTAAAATCACCTTGTAAGTAGCTACAAACTATCCTCTATCACTGTCATTCAATCTTGTTAATGTTTTTGAGCCACTTTATTTTAAGCATTGTTCAGATAATGCGATTTGGCCACCAAATGGACTGTAGTTAATGTTCACATTTTCTTTTCAATTTTCTGCTATGGAACTTTCATCTACCTTTTGGCCAAATCAAAGACATATGAAAGGAAACGATGTATCCTTAACACAAATATAAGGTATTTGCTGGGCATGCAATACTTATGCTACCCAAAAGGTACCTGTGATTCCATCCAGTGCTATGCTTTCTCAGTATTTATTAGCATGAAATTTTCTGCCCAGCATCAGTCTGAATGGTAGCTAAACAAGTTCACAATCAGGACTAAACTCCATGATGTCTTTTCTATTTTTTTTGTTTGTTTGTTTACATTTTGACTTTACAGCATCCTAATTTCATTTTCCCAAAAAATTTGTATTTGAAAAAAAAACTTATAGAAAAGTTCTAAGAATAGTACAATTTTATGAATATGTATATCCTCTTCATTTAGATTTTCCAATTTTTGAAATATTGACATATTTACGTTAACTCATTCTGTTTTATTTTAATTGAACCATCTGAGAGTACATTGTAGACATTTTACATTTTTCTCCAAAATATTTTTACTTACTATTACTTGAGTGTCATTTCATCTAGGCTCTTCTGTTGGACAAGATACATATAATTTATTAAAGGATGAGTTCATACCTATATTTCTAATTCTAATTGAACATCCAAGGTTCTTTCTCTCCTTCCTCCATTCCATAATTTTACCTTTTGTCTCCCAGAACAAGAATCCTGGGTTTTTGAGAACCCAAAATTTATTTGTTCATCTGCTCATTTCTAAGATTCACACAAAATAGTTTTGAAATTGCTACACCGATGTTACTACAAAAACAAACTTCATTTCAGTTCAAGACTTCATTACAGTTCCCCCCCCCCTTAGGATATTTTCCATCGAAGGTAGACAGTCTGAATCCTATGCTCAACAGTTGCTTGGATAAATTCTTTATTGTCTTCCTCTGTTGAGTTCTATTATCAATTTGATATACATTTAGGTTCATTTATGTTTGAATTGGATTTTAGTAATTTTTCATCCTTGTTGACTTAATTTTGCTTCTTGAGTATATAAAATGTTAATACTATTCAAAAGCCAAAACTATTTTTAAAATATCCTCAAAAAGGATATCCCTCCCACCTATTGTGACCTACCTCCTGTAGCTAAGCATTATCATTAATTTTTGGTATCTTCTTCTGTATTTCTTTTCACAACAGCAAGCAGAAGTCCACACACAAAAAAAAACATACACACACATTCCTATTTCTTTTTTCTTGTACAAAATATACCATTCTACATATCCTCTTCTGTATCTTACTTTTTCCACTTAATAATATATTGTGGAAATCACTCCATACTGGTCTGGTAACAGAGACCTTTGTTGTCCCCGATTAATACTCTATTGTGCCATTGGACCATAGTTTATTCAATGCCTCCTATATGCAATCATGCCAGTTGTTTCCACTATTTTTGCAAATTCACCTAATAATGAAATGAATAATTTTATAGGCACTTTGGTTTTATTGTTGGGGGTGTAGCACCAGGGCAAGAGCTGTGAATCAAAATGGAATTTTGTTAGTTTTGTCAATTCCATTTATCTTCATATGAATTATGCTTCCACTAACAATACACAAGAATGCCTATTTCCCCATAGCCTCACAAACAAAATACATTATCAAGCATGATTTTTTTAAACAAATCTAAGACTTGAAAAATGTCACTTCTTGAATTAGGTATGTGTGAAATTTATTATGTCTCCTTCTTTGTTGTTTTGTTTTTGTGGTGCTGGGGATTGAACCCAGAGCCTTGTGCATGGGAGGCAAGAACTCTGCACTCTACCAACTGAGCTACACCCCCAGGTGTTATGTCTCTTTCTGTTTAGGGATTTCTTCCCCTTCCTCCTGTGTGTGTGTGTGTGTGTGTGTGTGTGTGTGTGTGTGTGTACACCTGTGGCCTCATTTCAAAGTTCACAAATCCTGTAGATGAATTGGGTGCTAAGAATCTTTATGATGAAACAAAAGCCCAGAAAACATGTAGTGGCAAATATAAGACCAGAACTCAGATGCTCCTATTTCTAATTTGCCTTTCCATCAAACTATTAGCTTGTCCCCAGAGGTGTTTCCCCCCTCCCCTCCAGGCCAGGAAAAAAAAAAAAGTCCTTTTTCTAATTGTAGAACATATTTGAGAAGTACCTACAAAGTACTTGCCACATAGAAGGCATTTAAGAATGTTTTTGAATTGTATAGCAGCATTAATTAACTTGGGCTTCAGGTGAGAACAAACACTTCTAAAACATTTAGAAGCAGGCCTTATGTGTCAAGCAAGCTCTAATTACTTTCACTCAATTTGTTTCTTAAGAAAATGTGTGTGGTAACATTCAGGCTCCATTTAATTTTTGTTTTAGAAATTCAATAAATGGAAAGTTATTTAAATAATCAATTGCAAGGGAATTAAAATGGCTTTCTACATTCAGAATAGATTCAAAACTAAGTCATCCCATTATTAAATATATATATCTCACACACACACACACACACACACAAAAAAAAAACACCTTTATGAAGCTCAACTTGCTTCCTTTCATGATATGTCTCAGGCACCAACAGTGCAAACGTTTTGGAAACTTTAGGTTGTTTTCTTGCCCAAGTTTTGTTTTATGTATAGTTATGAATATGTCTAAAGTGTGTGACATTTTTAGGCAGTAGTTGAAGCCAAGAAGTTAATCCTGGGAGGACTTGAAAAACCAGAGAAAAAGGAGGACACTATGATGTACCTGCTGGCCCTGAAGAACGCCCTGCTTCCAGAAGGTATCCCGCTCCTTCTGAAGTACGCGGAGGCAGGAGAAGGGCCCATCAGCCACCTCGCCACCACCACTCTCCAGAGATATGATGTCCCTTTCATAACAGATGAGGTGAGACCTCCAAGAATATTTGCAACGTGAACAGAAGGGGAAAAGCACATCTGAACATGAGTCAAATGCAAACTCCTCTCAAGTAACTCTATTTTTTCCCCCAAGTGGCCTCTCTCTTCTGCTTAGAAATAACTCCAAAGTTGCATTTAAGGCTATTCTAAAGCAGCCTCACATTTTGAATAGATAATGTTCTATATCCTGAAGCATAAATATTGAAGCATACCCTCTTATTTTAAGACAAAAATTATTTTCAGAAATTTACTTCCTCTTAGAAATTTTAAGATGTTGTAAAAATTTTCAACACTAAAATATCCTGGCTTAAGCACGGCCTCCTTTGTTCATATAACTACATTTTTAGCAGTCACCTAACTTAAAATTTTGTTGGACAGAGAATGTTTCTAACATTAATATAAACTTACTTGAGTAGTGTCTAACACTGAGAATGATATTTCCATTTTGCAGTTAAGCACCCTTCCCAGTTTTGTGTCAAATATGGTTGGCAATGAAGCATGATGGTTAGGGCACAGGCTTTTGAGAAAGACGACCTAGGTGTAAATTCTGGCACTATTCTTTCCTAGTTGTTTGTTCTTGGATGAGTTATTTAACTTCCAGATGCCTGAGAGCAAGGCCATGGTTTGAGGGAAATAGGAAAAGACAGAGGGAAGCAGAATTGAAAGAAACATTTATAAATGTCTAGTAAAGAACTTCACATACCATATCTTCTTATAGACAATGTTGTAACCAATAAAATTACTTGTTGACACAGCATACAATTATTATGACACATTTGCATTGATTTAAATATTATTTAGGAAAAAAAAGGCCATAATGTACCCTACGATTGATAATGATATGTCAAGCAGGTTCATCGAATGTAACAGATGTACCACGGTTGTCTTAGTCCATTTCTATTGCTATACCAAAAGAATTGTCAAGTGTTTTATAAAGAAAAGAAACTTAATTAGCTCACATTTCTGAAGGTTCAAGAACATGGTGCTGACATCTTCTCAGCTCTGCTAAGAGCTTATGGCCAATAGCATCACAATGGCAGAAGTGCATGCAAGAGTGGTCAGTGGCACATATGGAATAAAGATTCAGGGGACGTGCCAGGATCCCTTGTAATAACCTGTTATTGGAGGAATTAAGCCAGTCTTATAAAACTGCATCAATTCCTCCTGAGGTCGAATCTCCCATACCTAATTACCATCCACTAAGCCCTGCTTCTCAAGGATTCCACCACCTCAACACAACCTCATGGGGTCCAAGCTTCTAGCACACAAGTCTTGGGTGACACATTCAAGCCACATTCAAATTATAGCAACTGTGCTGCAGGATATGCACAGACTGGGAGACTGTGCATGTACGGGAGTGCGGGATATATTAAAACTCTGTCTATTACCTACTCAATTTTTCTGTGAACCTAATATTGCTCTAATATATATATATATATATATATATATATATATATATATATATGTGTGTGTGTGTATATATATATATATGTTTTATATCTAGTAATTTAAAAAAGAAGATTCTGAGATATTTCACTGTGAGGAAATATCCATTCATACAGCCATCTCTCCCCAAATCCCCATTGCCACACGACAGTAGTATTCATAAAAGTTATATTAGGAGGTACCAAGTTATGCTGTATAAGGAATGAACCTCAAAATCTCAGAAGCTTAACAAAAGTTTATTTCTCGTGGTATGTCTGATATGGGTAAATATGTGGCCATCAGTTCACTTCAGTCATGGAAGGAAAAGATGGAGAAGGCATTGCCTTAGCTTGGAAGTGATTCATATTGATTGTGTCATGGCCTATTAGCTGGAACTGATTGTATAGCTCCAACCTAATGATGAAGGAACCTGGTAAATGTAGTAATGCATGCATTTACTCACTGTCCCTGCTACAATATCAATTTTAAAAGTCTGGGTGTGCCACTAATTTTGACTATCTTATGAGCAGGTGAAGAAGACCTTGAACAGGATATACCACCAGAATCGCAAAGTCCATGAAAAGACTGTGCGCACGACTGCAGCTACTGTCATTTTAAAAAACAACCCCTCTTACATGGAGGTAAAAAACATCCTGCTGTCTATCGGGGAACTTCCCAAAGAAATGAATAAATACATGCTGTCCATTATTCAAGACATTCTGCGGTTTGAAATGCCTGCAAGGTATGACCCATTGCATGTCTCTGTGCTTAAGTTTATTTACACAGTGATATGGTACCATGTGGCTAATAATAATTGTGTTCTATTGCATAAAACCAAAGGGAGCCAAATTTGCCCAAAGAGGGCTGTGTAAAAGTGAGCCAGCTAAAATAGCTTCATATTGGCTGTTTATGATTGGGAGCTCTGAGTCTGACTTTGGTTATCCTGTTCAGGCTGTTAATAACTACATGTTGCCATATGTTAGTAATGTTTTAAAGCCTAATTGCAGGACTCTTTTTATATGTAGTACAGCAAAATGGTGTTAAGTTCTCACCAAATTATCATTCATCTTAATTTTCTGAATGTGAGAAATCTTTGAATCCTCATTTATCATAGTTCCAATGAATTGCCAATTTAATTGCCATTAAAGTTTAAAACTTTAGGCATGGCCTGCATTTTTGGTCCATTCAAGGTCTGAATCAGCAGACCTCACTGCTTTCAGTTACTCTTGCCAGATTCACCTCCTTCCAGTCCCCAAGTCTTTCTTCCCAAATTCATCCATGCCACTCTTCAGGGTGACTCCCCTGAAGCTCCTTCTCACTGGAATCAGAGGTTCAGAGAAGGAATTCCCATTTGCCCTGAGGTCCCCGCAGAATAGCACCCCCAAGAAAGAACGAACTTTAAGAGTCCCCCAAGGAGAGGAAAACAGATGGGGGAGGGTGGGAAATAAAGAAAAAGAAATTTAACAAGAAGAAAGTAAAACATTGAAAGAAAAAACAAGAAGAGAGAAAGTACAAGAAACAGGGGAGGTGAGAAGACCCGAGAGAAGAGCAAGACAACGGGAAAGGAAAGGAGCCAGTGAGCAGGAGAGGGAGGTGGGAGGCAGCCAGGGAGGCAGCCAAGACTATGGGCAGCCATGTATTTCCAAGTGAACGGGGATTTGATTCTCTTTCTACTCCCTTGTTGCTTTTATGAGGCTTTGTGGTGGAGGTCTCAGGTGTGTTTGCTGACTATGTCTTGGGAGTCTAATAATTTAGGGATGGAAAAGAGGAGGCAATCAGAATATAGAAAAAGATGGGGAAGAGCTCAGCCTAGGAAATGGCATGAAGCAATCACAAACATTGTGGGTCGGATTCTTAGGACCAAGAAGGACATCAAAGGCCACCTTGCTTGGTGTCTCTTTGCAGTGTAGGGATCTGTGGTGTTCAGACTTCAACTGCTCCTCTCTGGTGGCCAAGAAACTCATCACCTCTGAGGAAACCTATTTCATTCTTCGACTCTGCCCATGGCTTTGTCTGAACTGAAGTCTTCCCATTGGCCCTGGTTTTATCTCTGGAGTTAAGCAAATCATGTATAATCAATCATTCAGCCACATGAATACCCTTTACATTTTAGGGGCATCTATTATGACCCCCCCCAAAGGCATATAAAGTTGCCATTTTCCCCTCTCAAAAATTTTCTACCTCAGGTCTAGGTCCAGTTTGCTTTGGTTGATTATTTTGATTTTACCATATTGTAATTTTATTATTGCTGATATTATTAGTGTTACATGGTTAAAAAAAAAAAGAAAACATCTCAATACTAATTACATAGAAAAGACAGAGGCATGGAATAAGAAGGAAGACTTGGAGACCACGGTTCCTTTATGGGTTTTATTGAGCTGTGTCTGTAACTGAACACTACCCAGATATAGAAGAAATCCTGGAAACTTGCTGTTATATATCATTAGACAATGATAACATTAAAGAAAAATGTTAAAGACATAATGTGCAGCTAATCTTAGTTTGGTACAGTTTTCCTAAACTTATGGACAATTTAACAGCAGAACGGTGATGACTCAAATAGCACGTGTTTTTCACTCCATATCCACTGTCAGCTGAAGCCACATCATAGCTGGAAGCCTTGCCCTGCTGTCATTTTAATACCAAATGAAATTTTCAGATATCTGAGTAATGAAGGGGAAAGCCCTAATCTTGATGCTGATGTCCAGCTGGCACCTCGCCCAGTCTTGGAGTGGCATAAGGAAAAATTCAGCCCCCTCCTTTTTCCCTCTAAGGATTTTCTTTCTTTCCTAATTTGACTTGGGAAACAGCCATTACAATGAATTTGCAGCTTTTTCTTCTTACACGTTGCAGCAAAATGGTCCGTCGAGTTCTCAAGGAGATGGGCACTCACAATTATGACCGTTTCTCCAAGAGTGGATCCTCTTCTGCCTATACAGGCTACATAGAACGTACGTAACCCAAAAAAGGGGTTCTCCTCCATGCCCATCCCCAGGTTGGCATTGCTGGCATTGTTGCTAAGATGCATGGTTGCTTTGTCCTTAGGTAGTCCCCGTGCGGCATCTACCTACAGCCTTGACATTCTTTACTCCGGTTCTGGCATTCTAAGGAGAAGTAACCTGAACATCTTTCAGTACATTGGGAAGAGTGATCTTCACGGTAGCCAGGTAACTCATTTTCCATGGATTGTGCTTAATAAAGTGTGTAAAAAAAATAGTAAAATAAAATATCCTGATGGCAGCCCTATAGAATGTGTAAGTTGATGATGGCTTTTGTCACATGTTGCCATGATTCCATCATCTGCAAAGGTTGGATAGGTTTGTAGACATAGAGGGAGTTTCAGATATGTACCTGGAACCTAAGTAACTATACACACAACTCGCCAGACATCCGTTTGTCTTTTCAAAGGTATACGGTTCACAAAATTGAAATTGTGTCTGTATTCTTCACTTAAACTTTTTTATAAAATTTTATTTGTATTCATAAATATATTTCTTTGGACCCTCTCAAGTATTTAATTCTGTAATATATTTGCCTTTTTGATTGATTGATTCAACATAAATGAAACTATATAATAGAATATGACTCTCACTTAGAGTCCATCTGTATCTCTTCAATACAGCCAGAAGAAAAAATAAATTAAAAAAATGTAAGCATTCGACAACTGGCTGGCAACTTTCCTTCTGTTGGTTTTATCCAAGATTTGGTGATGACTTATAAAACCTTCCTTATTATGAAATATACCTTCTTTTTTAGTTTTTATGAGTATCACATTATAACCTTCTTAATTGAAGTCAGTTAAGCTTTAGAAGTGATCCAGGGCCACAAAAATGTGAGCCCCCCTCAAAGTTAATTGCCTCACTCTTTAATAGTACTGTAGTTAGAATACCATGCCCTTCTCTCCAGAAGACTCACCATCTGTTTTCTGATATGCACTCAGAAATGTCAAGCACCCAGTAGTTTGGGGCTGGGTAGGAAGGACAGAAAATGTGTAAAATTCTTGTGTGGTAGAAATTAGGTTATGAACCTTCTCATGGTATTTGTCATCTTTTTAAAAATGTTTTTAATTTTTGGCAAGGGAGAAAAGTGTGACATGGACATGTATGAGTCATGGCTTGGAGAGTGCAGGCCTCTTGTGGCAGCAACCTTGGGACAACTGTGCCAATACCTTTCCGAGCTCTCCAAGATAGGTGATTCGTTATGTATATGTAACAGTCCTGGGGAGACCAAGCGCCTCTAGGATGACACCATAAAATGGAAAGCTCATGACAGGCACAGTGGCACACATATTCCTGTAATCCTAGCAATTTAGGAGGCTGAGGCAGAAGGATTGCAAGTTCGAGACCAGCCTCAGCAACTTAGCAAGACCCTCTCTCAAAATAAAAAAAAAATTAAAAAGGGCTGTAAATTTAGCTCAATTGGTATAGTTTGCCTTGCATGCATAAGGCTCTGGGTTCAATCCCCAGGAAAGAAAGAAAGAAAGAGAGAGAGAAAGAAAGAGAGAAGGAAAGAAAGAAGGAAAGGAAGGAAGGGAGGAAGGGAGGGAGGGAGGGTTGGGGGTGTGGCTCAGTCATAAAGTAGACCTGGTTTAATCCTCAATACCAAAAAAAAAAAAAAAAAAGAAAGAAAGAAACAAAGAAAGAAAAAGAAAACTTATAGTGTTTGCAGTCTCCCAACAGAAGTTTGAATCTTCCCTCTACCATCTCTACCATCTACTGAGATAATTTGATCCTTTTTTTTGTTTGTTTTGTTTTGCTTCACTTACAAAATGGGTAAAATCATCTACACTTTAAAAAACGGTTGTGACGATTAACATGGAAGAGACTAATTTGCCTTATATTGGGGCATAGAAGTTTTGTTTTACTTTAGTTTTGTTTTTGCCTACCTACTGCAGACATTTGAGGTTTTGACCCCCAGAAAAGTTCTAGCTCAGCTCAGAAGCCTCACCATTACTTACGGAGCAGGCGTGTCATGAATGTTGTATCCATTTTTCCCTAGGTGGTCCTCGAAGCTCAAGGGCTGGAAGGCTTAATTGCAGCCACTCCTGATGAGGGGGAGGAGAATCTGGACTCCTTCGCAGGCATGTCAGCCATTCTTTTCGATGTTCAGCTCAGACCTGTCACTTTTTTCAATGGATACAGCGATCTGATGTCCAAAATGCTGTCAGCATCTAGTGACCCTGTCAGTGTGGTGAAAGGACTAATTCTGCTAGTAGATCACTCTCAGGTAATTCAAGTCTGCACGTATTTATTCAGTCTCTTAAATTGCCAGGCACATTTTGAATGTGCTGTGTGCCTGGAGGATACAAGGACAAGTTCTGTCCATCTTGGAGCTCACCTTCTAAGCATTTGAACCTCTTGATATTATCGCCTTTTCTCCTTTGCTATTTTCTTTTGCACTTGTTAGCTGATTAAGGGATCTCTTTACTTTTGAGATAAATGAAAAATACAGATGCTAACAGAAATAAGATTATGGAGAATCCCTAGGATGTAGCAGAGCAGGGATGGCATTGTCTCCTGGTTGGGCTTACCTGGGCATGGCGGTCTGGGTGTTTATCCTTAGTTGCTGAACCACATGGCTTCATAAGTTACCAATAATGTTCATAATGATAACAATGATGAAGATCCAAGGAGAGCATCATTTTGATCCTGCCAAATTAATAGAGGCACAAGCAACCACTGATGCTAGCCACAAGTTTCACAGAGACTCTTTGCCCCAAATTCTCGTGATCATAGAATGTTGGAAGGGCTGTTTGTTCTTAGAGAATAAGAAGGAGTATTTCACTCTCTTGAAGCGCAGTCTAGAATAATTTTCAACTGTCCTTGATCCTGAATCTTACATTACTGAGCCAAAGTCCAATAACATTATAATCTCTATGGTAAGATTGAGGTAACCAAGATCCTCTATGGGATAGGATTGGTTTGCTTACTTGGATTTTCAAAGAAACAGAAGGCAGTTAGTCTGAATGCTGAGTTTGAATGTTTCATGCTTAATATTTTTCCTTTAATGGATTTATTTTATTTCCCACCTAAGCAAAGCAATAAGAAAAAATGGAATGTTGGCTAAATAAGAATCTTAAGGGAAATCACAGCACACTCTGATTAATACTTATTATATTGAAGCTGTATAATGAGAATGAATTTTAAATTTATAGACTTGTAGGTTTGAATTTTGGCTCCCTACTTTCTTGCTGCGTGCTCTTGGGCAGTTACTTAGTAGCTTTAAATCATGACTTCCTACTAATAAAGTGGGGCATTTAAAAAGATGATCCAAATATTTTACCAGCTTTGCTGTTCTTTGAGGATTCTTACTTGTTAGATTCTGGTCGTAAAATAATAGGTTTTAAGAGCTGAACAAACCTTAGCTACCAAACTTTATTGAAACTCTTCCAAAACATCAATAGTTGAAACTAAATAATATAATTCTCTATCTTTATTATTCCTGATATCAGTTCAGGATAGCCAGATATAACAAAAACAAAAACAAAAAAAACACACATTTTGGAGTGGCTTAATAAAATAGTTTGACATTTATTGTGTAATATATATTTGGAAGTAAGAGGTCCAGGGTTAATATGGAAAACCTACAGTATCAGAATCCAAGCTCTCTTCCTTCAACTCAGCCACCCTTACATGTGGCTTTTACCCTCAGACCTGTCACCTGGTGATTATAACACAGCTGTTCCACCTGCAGCATGGCCTCCTTGTTCCAGGAAGGAAAACTTTTTTGGAAGCCCTTTCTGGGATGTCCTGATAAAGTCAGTTTAATAAGGGGATCTTCTTTAGCTAAGAACACATTTTCATAAATGGAAGCAATGGGATCAATTGTCAAAATGTCAGTGTCTATTGACCAAAACTATCTCACATGGCTGCCTATAGCTAGAAGGGATGCTGGTGAACATAGTTTATAATCGGGTAGGCACACTCTAAACGAAACCATGTTTCTGTTAACATGAAGGGAGAGAAGGAGGAAGCCCAACAGTGCCTCTGATATCCCTTTAGCTAATCACCCATGAAAAGCTGTTCTCAAAGGACATCAGAAGTTTACATTCGCAATTCTATCACACTTTTAATGGAAGAAAGCTCTAACCAGAGCCTAAGAGTGCCAAGGAAGTAGTTCACAATTTAAGACAGGACAACAGTTCAAGAACCACCATTAACAGTGCCTAAAGATTTAGATTAGAGAATAAAACTCAATGCAAGTTATCTCTGGGTCAGCAAACTTGTTCTGTAAACGCAGGGCAGAAAGTAAATATTTTAGGCATTAAGTCCCACCCAGTTTCTGTTGCAGCTACTCAACTCTGTTGTTGTAGAGTGAAAATAGCCATCAGCAATATATTAACAAATGAGTAGGACTGTGTTCCAATAAAACTTTATTTACAAAAACATCCAGTGGGCCATACTTGCCTTCAGGCCCTGATTAAGACTATCTTATGTGATTTTTCCTATTCATTAAGTCTGGGTGCCTCCAGCAAGATTGTCCCCTAGCTATTAAACCTAACCAATGTCTGTATATGTCATGCTGGAGTGTTTGGCAGATCTGAGTTATTATACAAATAAGCTGTCTGTGGTCCCCTGGCTCTGTAGAGCACTCCAGTAATGTCATCCTCGCTTCATAGGCACATACCACTCTAGGTCAAGTGCTGACATTGAAGGAAATGTTGGCAATAGGTGGCCTGTCACAGCCACTGGGACAGATGGAATTACTCTGTGAACTACCTCTCTCTCTCTCTCTCTCTCTCTCTCTGGATAATTGGATTACTCTTCGGAAAGGATGTCCTGATAAAGTCAGTTTAATAAGGGGATCTTCTTTATCTAAGAACACATTTTCATAAATGGAAGCAATGGGATCAATTGACAAAATGTCAGTGTCTATGTGAAACACAGCTACAAATCAAAGTTCTAGTAATGTGTTCTTCTAGTTTCTAGGCAAAAAATTAAACAAATATCTACTCTGGGTCAAACAGGTACATTAGTTTATGCTCGTTCTTTTTGGCAGTATATTTTTGGAATAGAATTTCTTGCACATGAGGAGAAAAAAAGAGAGAGTTATGAGTTTGTGATAGCCACATATGATAGTAGAAAAAATCTCCACTTTAGAGGCAGTCTGTGGATTTATTCTGCCTCCAAGTGTAGCCTCTGGGCCTGATTTGTCCTTTCAGCTTTCAAATATAATGCCTACCATGGAAACTTGGTGTTAGTATTAAATGAGTTACCAAAGTAGCTCTTTGGGCACAAGGTAAGCCCTCAAAAATTACTAGTTTCACTTATTTTATACCTCAAAAATGAGAACTACTGCACGATGTGGTTTAGTCCTTTTCAAAAAGGAAAGAGTAGTTTGTTCTTCTACAGGAATCTATGGTCTTCCCTCATGAAGAGATTCAAGAAAATTCCTTTATGACATCACATAAGATTTCTTCCATGGTTCCCTTGCATGAGGAAAAAAAAAAAGAATTTCTTAGAAATCCAAGGTACTCCTCAAAATCACATTGCAACGTAAATGTTCTCTTCTTACAAAAGGTGGATTGTCTAATAGCCATAAAATGTTCTTGTCCACAGCACTTGGTGCATCTTGACATCCCCCTAGTGTATGTATGGTCAATGAAAAAGTCAAGGTCCACTTTACAGACCCCCGCTGGGCTGGAAGGACTAACAGAATTGTGGTTTTCGAATTAGGAAGAGAGGAGAAGATGAAAAGAAAGGAATACTTCTGAGGCAGGGCACAAATTGAGTTTTCTTGACATAACCACAATTACAGTGCACATGCAGATCTCAGATATCCTGGCCCTGTAATTCATAGGTTAAAATTTGGGCATGACCATTGTTTTCTCAGGACATAAATGTGTTCATTTGTTGTGTTACATGATACAATCCCCCGTATTCTACAACAACCACATTTTCAACTCTAGACTAAACACAGTTTTAAGTATCTGTAGGAATATCTCCTGATGTGTCCTGAGATGGCACTGAGAATCTCATGCCTCCATCCAGGAGTGCCCTTCCGAATGAAAACAGTTTCATGCTACTACCATACCTTCTCAGGACATCTGATCATTAACCAAGTTCTTTGTCTGAGATTTTTCTGCCACACGTTTTGAAATTCAGGGAGATCAACACGATCCTTTTCAGAAAGTGAAATCATGGCATTTGTAGTTGGCAAATGCATGGCTTGTTTGGGCTGAGTAAGGCAGTTACATAAAGAAGTGAGTCATGCTCCAAGTTGCCAGGAACTTACAATCTTTGGAGGAATATCAAAATTGAGGAGACCAAGGTTTTTTCCCAGAATCATTATCACTTTCAACCCTTCCCATAGGCAATCTGATTCCAATCTAGCTGAAAAAAGTTTCAGCCAACATCACCCTGCCTAATGTACTTGGAAAATCCGAGACTTAAAGGTTAAAAGCAGGCAAACTACACAAAACAATGGGTTTCAGACAACCATGAAATTGCTCAGGATGGTCTGTTTGTAAATGATTACTGTGCCTCTGAAAAATGCTGTTGAGTTCATATTGGACTTGGCAGTTAATTCAATGTCATTTCAAATGTCAGAAAGCAAGGTATTAAGGCTTAGTTAAATTGCCTTGCATTCCTTTCCAAGCTTCATCTAGGCAATTCCTGGAACTTGTATATTGCACTGGGATTTTTTAATCCTGCCTTTTGTCAGAAAGATGAAGTTGTCTATATTTGACACAGCATATAATTAGAGAAGTGCTGAAGGACCGGAGTAGGTCATCTTGTCCATCCCTCACCACCATGAAGAAAGAAAAGCCACAACTGGATTTCTGATAGAGGTGCCTTCATTTTCTCTAGTTCAGTGGCTCTCAAATTTAGGCCCATCAGAATCACAGAAGGGCCCATTAGAATATAGATGACTGGGCCTTACTGTCAAGAGTTCCTAATTCAGTAGGTGTCAGGGACTTGAGAATCTGCATTTGAACAAGTTCCCAGGTGATGTTGATGCTGCTTCTCAGAGGACCACATATTGAGAACCATTTGGCCTTCCCAAAGTGAGGCAATGATGGAAGGAAAATACCCTTCTCAACTGGTGCTTCACTTCTTTAGTATTTTAATCGACTCATTAATTTAGCAAATCAGCAGTCTGTTCCTGGTGATCAAGACGAAGACCAACATGTTTCCAAGCCTAGAGAAAGATTCAATGGCATCATCTACAACAGGAGCTTGAATGTGCTTTGGGAAAGGGGGTTGACTAAACTGTACTTATTACTGTTATCACTATTAATATACAAGTGTATGCACATGTGTGTGTGTGTGTGTGTGTATATATATATATATATATATATATATATATATATATATATATATATAAAATTTTTTTCTTCTTCTTCTTCTTCTAGGAGCTTCAGTTGCAATCTGGCCTAAAGGCCAACATAGAGGTCCAGGGTGGTCTAGCTATTGATATTTCAGGTGCAATGGAATTTAGTCTGTGGTATCGTGAATCTAAAACCCGAGTGAAAAATCGGTAAGCAAAAGATTTTTAATACTCTATACAAAGAATGACAGACTTATGTTTTGGGAATTGGTCAACCTTTGGAGTTTTCAAAATCCATGCTCTCTGTTTGCAATCACTAAATCATAGAGTTAGAATTGACCACGAGATGTCATTCTGTTCATAGCTTTTCAGGAGTAGATCAGTACTTAAGACAACTCAACTGAGTATCATTCAAGTTTTAAAGACAGCATCATTGTGCCCCATAGAAGAGGGGGCTCCTCTTCTCTTTCTATTCCATTTTAGTAACTGATAAGGTTGCCACTTCAATTAAATTTTTAGCTTAACTCAATTGGTGGATTTTAAAACCTTTCTTCTTTTTTTCTTTTAAATAATTTAACCTTTATTGTCTATCTATCTATCTATCTATCTATCTATCTATCTATTTATTTTTATGTGGTGCTGAGGACCACATCCACATCTGAGCTAGGCAAGTGCTCTACCACTGAGCTACAACCCCAGCCCAAAACCTTTCCTCTTTTGCTATTTTCAATGAATTAAAATAAAAAGACAATCTCTTCTATTCAGAATCTAAGTTTTAAATGTTAGGAGTCCTTAAGCTTTTTAAATTTTTTAATCAACATATCTTTTTCTCAGGTCTTTTAGATTTTCTAATCTACTGTGAGATTCAATGAAAATGTTTTACTTTGAAAGTAAAACAATGTCTCTGAGCCAATGATAAAAAAAAAATTATTCTTTTGTTTGTCATAAAATTAAAGAAAATGAAGAGGAAATGCAATTTATTTTCATATTTTAGGGTATTTAAGGGGGCAGAAGTGAGATAAGAATGATAAAATTGAACCTTTTTTCTTTTCTTTTTTTTTTGGTACTGGGGATTGAACTCAGGGGCACTCGACCACTGTTCCAAATCCCCAGTCCTTTTTTATATGTTATTAGAGACAGGGTCTCCCTGAGTTGCTAAGTGCCTTGCTTTTGCTGAGGCTGGCTTTGAGCTCATGATCCTCCTGCCTCAGCCTCCTTAACCGCTGGGATTACAGGTATGTGTCACCACACCTAGTGATAAAATTGAACTTTTATTCATTGTAAACAGTGGATGAAGCAACTGAGAACAATCTAGGTGGCATATTTAAAGTGAGGGTGACACATACTGTTACTAGAAGGAACCCAAGAATGAGAAATGGAATTGACAGTCAGAGAGCAGCATAAGTTGGGGCTTCCTACTGAACCAATTATCTTCTCTTTTCAAAGTATTTTCTAGATAGAAATTTCTCCAAATTAAACTGGATAGAATTCTTTGCAGAGAAGAATCGACAACAGCAACAAAATAGTCTGGATTTTTAAAGAGGACACAATATCCCTAAGAAACTACCAGCATCCATATCATAACTAATAAGTTCTCCATTTTTCATTTATTCATTCATTTAAAAAATATCACTTAAGCCTTTGCTAAATAGAGACCATTGGAAGGTTCTGTAAGGGATTCAGGGATTAAAACAACCACTGACCTACTTTTATGCTGGCAACCACAGCAGTAGGGATTTTAGTTTGCACAGCAAAAAATTAAGACAATCTCTTTTCTTTGAAAAAGAAAAGTATGGACATATGCCTCTGATTTGATTATGGGAGTAATTACCCACAGTTTGATTTAAAGTCTATAATTACTTAGTGATCCTGGTTGTAAGCATCCTATGGAGATTTTTTTTTTAATCTTCTTCATTGTCGTCCAAGCCACATTCCCCAGCCAGTCCAATCTGTCTCTCTCTCTCTCTAGAGGACCATCGTTGAACCTAACCTCCTGGAGCATGCCTTGCACATGCCCCACTGAAGGAATGGTTATTTGTAACTAATATTCTTTCAGATATCATGACAACCTAGATTCAGGCCACTAGAGACTCTTTGGAGAAAGTAATTAAATGGAATTATAGAGCTACCTCAAAGCCAACAGAGCCATAACGAGAAAATTGTTATAAACACCAGTTGTTTTCTTGGAGACTTTATACTTCTTTAAATGATAGTTCAGGTGTTTCTGACCTCCTAAGAGGACTGGGTTCTAGGCATGTTTTCCTCTTGGTCCTGGGATGCCCGTAGCACACAATGTCAGACCTGGTACACATTTGGTTCCCATGTCTACAACAGAAGGGAGGAGAAGGGCAAACTTCCCTGGCTCATCTCTGACACCACACAGACTCTGGTTAGCAGCAGGACTCAAGCCCACTCAGGTCACCTCTCAATTGCTAAGTATTTCCTTCCAATTGTCAGTGTCATAAGTTCAGACAACTTGTACTATCAGTCCAGCTCTACTAACTGTGGTATGAACATGTATTTTTCTCAATCTTTAGGGTGGCTGTGGTAATAACTGGTGACATCACAGTGGACTCCTCTTTTGTGAAAGCTGGCCTGGAAACCAGAGCAGAATCAGAGGCTGGCCTGGAATTCATCTCCACAGTGCAGTTTTCTCAGTACCCATTCTTAGTTTGCATGCAGATGGATAGGGCTGAAGCTCCATTCAGGTAAGAAAAGTGCTCATGGAACGATCCAGGAACATCTATGCTCACCAGGAGCTACATTCAAATTTAAGTGTTCAGTTTCAGAATTAAAAAAAAATCACCAAACATTAGAAATCAAGCAAAAAAATGAACTTTCTATAAAGAATTAAAATAATAATAAAACTAATAAATCAGTTCCTAGGATACCATGCAACTCCAATGACTAGTTTATTTGATTCTGAATTAAATAATATTCTAATCCAGAAATAACTCTTCAAGATAAAAAAGAGATTTGATTTACTGTAAAAGTTACCACATCGTTTCAGCCAAAATACCAGATGTACATTTGCTGTCTGGTATCTTTCACAATTGTCCTCTGGACAGAAAGTTCAAAACGCCTGGCAACCCATTTACAATGGTTTAAAGGATAAGATGAATTCACAATTCTTAGTTATCCTGTACATCAACCTGGCCTTGTTTAACTTTGAATTCAAGCTTAAGTGTTTAGAATTCTGAAAATTTTAAAAAATGGGTTAATAGAATGCTTAATGTCTTAAAAGCCAAATAGATACTTGTTCATGCAACTTCACAACTTCTCCTCCAATCTAGAGTCTCTCATGAACACTGTGTCCTTGAACCTTTTAACCATTATTTGGAGCAGTACTGTCCCATGGAGCTAGAATGCTTTGGGTCTAGGTAACACTGATTCTTTAGTGATAGTTATAGAAGTCTCTTTGACATAAACTATCTGACTATAAGATAATTTGTGTACTTAAAATAGCAAGTCACAATTTACATCATCTTCTTTGATAACTAGGCCAGAGTATCTCATGTTACTAACATTTTATGACCCATATAATATAAGTACAAATATGAATAGGTTATATTTTCATGAAATAAATGGTAGTGCCTTATAGTTAGAATATTAAACTATCACTAACCTATACTATCTTATGCTTAGAATAACCATCCATCCATGCATGAAAAATGTCAACCTTCTAATAGTCAAAATGCAGTGGCCACCAACCCAGCCACATGGTTACCTGGTTTGGTTCCATGTTTCACTTGGGCTTGGAGCCTTGGGAATGTTTCCTGTCAGCATTCTCAGCTTAAATCTGGTTGGACTTGCTATTTACCCTAAAGGGGAGTGTCCCGAAGGTGGGGCTTCTGGAATGAGGAGCAGAAGACATCGAAGGCCTGTGAAGCTTAGTTCTATTAAACATCTCCAAAGAAATGAAAGGCATTCAGTCCTTCATTCCAGAAAAATATATGGCAGGACTCCCATATCCCAGGCATTTGGAGTATAATTAGTAGCATGAAAGGAAATGTGAAGAAGAAAACCAACCCATTCCTCGGGAGTGGAGCACAGTAATCTTTGGTACTTGAGTCCTTTGTCAAATTGTTCTGGGACAGAAGCGTCAAGTGTACACTCAGAAACCTGGCTGGGATGGGTGTGGGGTGACTTTAACGTGTGTGATTTTGTTGTTGCTATTGTCATAATGCAGGCACTATGAGACAAAGTACGAAAGGCTGTCCACAGGCAGAGGCTATGTCTCTCGGAAAAGGAAAGAAAGTCTACTGGCAGGATGTGAATTCCCGCTCCACCAAGAGAACTCTGAGATGTGCAAGATGGTGTTTCCCCCGCAACCAGAAGACTCCTCTTCAGGTGGATGGTTTTGAAACTGAGTGCTGATTTTTCACTTGAATTTGTCTCCTCTAAAGGGATACAATGTGACATGCCTAAGTACTTGCTCTCTGAGAGCACAGTGTTTACATATTTACCTGTATTTAAGATTTTTGTAAAAAGTGATGGAAAACTTCAATTGATTAAATTTGGGCCTATTCAGTACACTACCTGCAATGTCACTTTCAGTCATCACGTGACACTTTCAACAACTTTCTACTTTTCTTGTACCTCTCTCAAATCCCATCTAGCACAGAGAAATTAGTTCTGCTCTAAAAAGAAACAAGCGTTTAAAAACAAAACAAGCAAACAAAAAACCACAGACACTTAGGAGAATCCAATTTTGTTTTGACAGTTGGCAGTCGATAGATACGAAAGCCTTTGAGAGATCCTTAAGTCTGTCTGGCTTTCTAAGAGGCATATTGTCTGCTAAGGGGAAAAAAAATCAGACCTTTTTCTTTTTTTCTTCTCTTTTTTGGGGTGAGGCTGCAGGGAGAGGCTGAAGACGAGACTTTAAAAGAATGTTATTAGCCAGCTTTTAGAATTAATATTTACATCTTCTGTTTTATTAAGCATTAAGGTAGAGAATATGCATAATTAAAACACATCATTTTATCTTTCTGCTAGCCATGCAATGAGGTTGCCTGGAATCCATTCAGATCTCTACCTCCTACAAAAAACAAATGGAATTAGCACATAGAAATTTAAAAAAAAACTAATTTTGGAAACTCCATTTGACCACTCTTATGCCACATCTGCATGAGACATGTGGCACACTGTTTTTTATAAGGGACTTCCTTATACAGGTTTCTCTGCCTGCATGTTTTGTGATAGAAGCTTGGTCGGTTTGACAACAATCTGCATGATAACCACTGTAACTGAGGGAACATTGCTTCAAGAAATGGATTTGTATTTTGAAAGTATGAAATAAAAATAGTTTCTTTATTTGTATGAATTAAACGAGCCATGTCAAACATTTAAAAATATTTATTAATAAAATCTATATGTTTATTGTGATAAACCCCAACATGAACGACAGGTGCTTATTTGCCCATTAAACATACACACATATGATGAAGGTTTAGATAGCCCACTAAGAGCTGTAAATTGAAAATGAAGTGTGATGTAATAAATATGTGGAAATCTTATTGATATCCTTGTGTCTTTTATTACTCCCAACACTATGAGACCAAGATCACATACAGCCAAGCCTCCACAACAGAGCTGGCCAAGGTCACTAGATGGGAGGTCAGAGACATTTGGAGAACAGGCCCCTGAAAACCACAGCAGTCAGGACATGTAAACTCAAAAAGAAAGCATAAACCTACTTTTCAGAAAAGTCCAAACAGCACCTTTATTGTTCTGTTACTAAGAAGGGAGAAAGGAGTCAGAAACTGAGGGTGGCAGGAGCATAGCAGATGGTTGCATCCGCCACTGAGGAAGCATCAGTAAATATATTGTCAGCTCATGCCCTGGCAAGTGGGTCCAGGGCATGAGCTGAAGATATAGTGGGCTGACACACCTCAGCCATGGGTTGTTTAACAACTCACAGCTGCCTCTTTGAAATGTAAAATACTCACTTCCCAAAAAGTAAGACTCTGGTGCCCTGAACATTTGTGCTTTGCCACTCCAGACTGCTTATCTAGCAGACTTAACCAAATCGCTGCTCACACATGAAGACAGGGCATGCTGGCAACTTTAGCATTCTCCAGAGAAACAAGAAACCATAAGCCTAGGATAAACAGTGACTCCTTTTTAGAGAAACATGGTAGAATTTTAAGAGGGATGGACTATGTTCTGCATTTGAAAATGACACATCCAAGCCAGCTCTGACCACTTCACAGTTGCAAATGTCAGACAGCCTCTATCTTCTGTGCAGATGTCTGTTGGAAACCACATGGTCCTGGAAGATGAGTCTCCAGGCCTCTGCCCAGTCAGCTCCTTCCTATGAGTGGTGTGGATATAGCCAGGCTTCTCTTCTGTGAACTGTTATTTCCTGTCATGTGTCCTGTCTTCACATTCAAATAAGTGTTAAAACTCACACTTATTTAGTGTTTTTTATTTGCCAGGTATCTTTAAGTGATATATATATATATATATATATATATATATATATATATATATATATATCAAATCATTTAACCTTCACAACAACCTTGTTTAAAAAATAGTAATATTTCCATGTTGTAGATCAGCACCAATGAGGAAAATATAATGTATTTTAAAATTTAATGTATTGTAAAATATTTTTACATTTCTAGTAGCTACATTTAAAAGTAAACAGAAACAGAAGAAATTAATTTTAATAATGCATTTTATTTATCTAACTCAATGCATATCAACATGGAATTAATATAAAATTATTAATGGGATATTCTACTTTGGAGAAGGATTGGGTCTTCGAAATGTGATGTCATAGCACATTTCAAGATGGCTAAACATATTTTGAGTGCTCAGTATCCTAGAATGGCTAGTGATCACTGAACAGAGCAGTGTAATTATAGATGGAGAAACTGAGGCAGAGAAGACACCTCACTCCACAGAAGACGCTTTGTCACCTAGAAAATGGTAGAACAAGGACTCAGATGTACACGGTCTCACCCCAGAACCTGCTCTCTCAACTCACTATGCTATATTTATGGGATTCTTTTGGTTACAAAGATTTGTTTGTAAGAGAATGAAAATGGTAGGTCAATGAAATTAACAAATGGGACAGTAGCTACAAAGCCTTATATTACAAAGTTCTGAGAGTCATTCCCCTTACTCCATGACTCCTGTATCTCTTTCTGTGATGGTACTAGAGGCAAGTTTGAATTTACAATAACAAATGCACATTTTTTTTGTAATAGCTTTATGGAGATAGAATTTACACACTATATACATTCACTCCCTTATAGTAAATAATTTAATATTTTATCACATTCAAAATGTTGTACAGCCATCACCATAATCAATTTTAGAATATTTCCATCATTTCAATAAGAAATCTGTGCTCTTTAGCTATTGTTTCCAATCTTCCCATCTCCCGGTCCTAGGAAATCACTATCCTATTTTCTGTGGTTGTAGATTTATTCTGAACATTTCATGTAGTTGGAATTTAGCATTATACTTTCAAAGTTTCTCTACATTGTAGCATGTGTCAGTATTTTATTCTTTTGTTTTGGTCAAACAGTATTCTATTATATGGGTGTGCTGTTTGTTTATCCATTCACTCGTGATGGACTTTTGGTTTGTTTCCAGTTTTGACTATTAAGAATAATTCTTTGATAGACAGATTTTGGGGTGGGCAGATTCTTTCATTTCTTTTGCATATATACTTAGGAATGGAGTTGCCACATCAAATATAACTCCACATTTAACTTTTTGAGTACTGTCAGATTGTTTTTTCAAGTGACTAAACTACTTTATATTTCCAAATGCAGCATACAAAGGTTCTATTTCCACATTCTAACCAACATTGTGTCGTTCTTTTTTATTATAGACATTCTAGTGGATATTAACTGGCATTCACTATGGCTTTGATTTATATTTTCTTAATGCCTAATGATGTTGAGAATCTTTTGATGTACTTGTTGACCATTTATCTTTTTTAAAGAAAAAGTTATATGGATTATTTTCCCTTTAAAAAATTGAGTTACTTATCTTTTTATTGAATTGCTAACATACTTCACATATGTTAGCTATAAGTCCCTTATGATATATATGATTTGCAAATATTTTCTACCATTCTGTGTATTTTCATTTTATTGATAATATCTTTGAAGCACAACAGTTTGTAATTTTAATGAACTCTGTTATTTCTTTCATTTTGTTTGTGCTTTTGGTATCATATCAAGAAAAAGTCATTGCCAAATCCAAAATCACAAAGATTTATTCCTATGTTTCCTTCCAAGAATTCTGTAGTTTAAGTTTTTAAATTTAGGTACTAGATTCATTTTTGTACATTGTGTGAAGGAGGGGGTCCAAAATCATTCTTTTGTATATGGATATCTAGTTGTTCCAATAGCAATTTTGAACAAATTGTTCTTTCTCCCTTGAATTGTTTTGATATCCTTGTTGAAAATCAATTAACCACGAATAGGGAAGCTCAACTCTGGATCGTTCATTTAATTCCACTATTTGACATGCCATATTTATGCCATTACTACACTGTCTTGATAACTGTTGCTTCATACTGAGTTTGAAAATGGGAAGTATGAATCCACGTATTTTGTTCTTTTTCAAGATTATTTTGGTCATTCTAAGTACTTTGAGTTTCTATATGAATTTTAGAATCCGCTTGTCAATTTCTACAAAGCCCAGTTGGAACTGATAGGGATTGTGTTGAAACTGTGCATAAATTTGGAGAGTATTGCCATCTTAATTATATTATTTTTAACCAATAAACATAAGACATCTTTCCATTACTTATATCTTTAATTTCTTTTAATGTTTTGTAATTTTCAGAGTATAAGCTTTACCCTTCTTTTGATAAATTTATTCCAAATATTTTAAGATTTTCAATGCTGTTATAAATGCAATTGTGGTTTTTCAACTGTTTATTGCAAATATGTAGAAATACATACTTTTTGCATTTATTGTGTACGTATCCTGCAACCAAGCTAAACTCATTTAATAGTTCTAATATCTTTTGGGAGATTCCTTAGAATTTTCTGTTTTAAAAAAAAAGTGCACAGAGATAGTTTTACTTATCTCTTTCTAATCTGTATGGCTTTTATTTCATTTTTATTGCCTAATTTCTCTAAATGCAATCTCCGGCACAATGCTAAGTAAAAGCGGCAAGAGTGCACATAGCAAAGATGACAGTGTTGTGAAAATGTGACAGGCTGCCAAGAGCTACAGAGTAGGAAAGCAAGGCCCAAATCATGCAGTCATCACATTAGTTCTCTTTTCACTAAGTACAAATAAATCAAAGCCCATTTGAAATCATCTCAGTGGCCTCCTGTTAAAGGACGGGAACACAGAATCCAGGGGACCTATCCTAGCATTCAGAATCTGTTCAAGATTCAAATTGGTTGAAACCTCAGCATTCCTTACCAGTGGAGCTGTCCCCTAAATAAGGCAGTGAGAAGAAAAGGGAGCAGGAAAGAATAGAGAGGCCAGGCCTGGAATCTCAGCTCCATTACCTACTGGCTAAATGATTTGGGACATGCGACTCAGGTTGTCATTGCTGAAAGAGGTATGATAATTTCTATTTCACTGTGCTGTTTAAAGATCCAGGAGATAATGCCTATAAAGCATAGTGCATGGCACACAGTAGAATTTGGTTAATGTGTGTGCCATCAGAGATGCAGTGAGCAAGGTTCTCATCAATGGTTATTGATAAAAGAGGTTTTTATTGCACTTTGTTTCTATTCCCCCCTTACAAGTAATTGGAGAACCCAGGGTTATTTCTTCTCTAACTTTCAGGGCTGGGAGTAGTACAGCATTAGGTATCGTTCACACACAACATCCAGGAAGGTGGGACGAAGGAGAGTAAGGCAGAGAAGGAGATTTGGAGCAAGGTACTCCTGTACATCTGAAATCTTACCTCTTCCTCTTATTATTGATATAAAATTTTAAACCTCTAAACTTCTCAGCTTCTACATCTGTCAAACA